GGATATTCTCTGTCGTTGAGGGCGTTGGGGTAGCCTAGTGGTTAAAGCGTTCACTCGTCACGCCGAAGACCAGAGTTCGATTGCTTACATAGGTACATATGTCTTATGCTCTAAAGTTGTTTCATCAAGAGTACAACATTCAAGGCCTCAACAAATCTTTCAAGAAGATTTATGGTAGACATGTGAAGGACATTGAATGTGAAGCATCAGTGACAAAATTATGTCCAATGCAATTCCAATCTCATTAAAATCAGACCTTAGTTCTCGCTACCGCTAAACAAAGATCTGAGGACATCCCATTACGGGTCACGTCAGACCGAACTTGTGCGAACTTTGACCGACCAATGGAATGCCCGATCAGAAGGCAGCTTTCTCGTGCTTTACGGCACCAATTTTAAATTGGCGACTACGCTTCGAAACATATTTTGACAAATTCTCGATTACAAATTTGAAACCTGACTAAAAAAACATTCTGGAATGGCTACTAGATGGTCTAGATTGTATGGATTCAGTCGTTAAACCCGTAACTATCGTTCGGAATACACAATGTTTCGAGATTGCATGATTAGAAATCACATTCCGACTCTCACTTTCATAATCTGGTAAGCGACGCACTGATTGTTCGGATGAAAGGTCGTTCTGACGTGACCCCTAATGGGATGTCTTCAGATCTTTGCTTAGTGGTAGCGAGAACAAAGGTCTGATTTTAATGAGATTGATGCAATTCCCTATCTTGACATGTTCCCGTGTTTGTTTTTATTTGATAGTGATTCATAAACACATGCTCATGATATATTCGGATCCGTACAATCGATTCTTATGAAAATGGAATGAGTTTTGTAGCTTTTATGTTACACCCTATTCAACATTATTATAGCTGGTTCTGTTTTACCAATGGAATCTGTTCCTTCTGAATGGAATCGGTAATTCTCTGGCGTTGACGTTATATATTTACAGTAGTTACATTGCTAAGATAAGTGATTTCTTGATCTGACCAATTTCAACGTGACAAACTTCCAATCCAGTGTAGAGACAACACACAATGCAGTCATGCGTGCAGAGAATAGGCGTGGACCAATAGCTTCAAATTTGGGCGGTGTGTCATCTTGAAACACAACCACACGCTTTGCCATGGACGTCGATCCCGTCGCGTCGGGCACGATCAGTGCATTATCTGACAGCCACAGCGCCAGACAGTGACCTTGTGACCTCCCACGGCACCTGACACATGCCACGGTGCATGTGTTTTTGCATAATAGCTTCAAAATCATCACGTGACAGGTGTGACACAACAGGTGAGACAATGCAGGTGTGTACAGTCATTGAAATCCTCTGAACCCCACAGGATTCAGATCTATGCAATAGAAGTGGTACTTCCACTATATAGAAGTGTTCAAATGGACATTCAAGAGACTTGATCTGATGATTTGACGACTTCATTTTATCATCTGATATCGTTCAATATGGGTAAAATAGACATTTTCCGTCGATGAAGTTGCCCACCTGAACTCGATATAATAGGGAGCATTGAAACCGCCTCATCTGGTTCATATTTAGGATTATGCATAAAGATTCATGGTAACAAAGACAACATCAAGGCTGTAACCTATCATAAAACATAATATGGCCATGTGCTTCCACAAAGCAACAAAGAACACATGTGCACGTGGCGAATTGCTGAATAGAGTTTTCTTGGTTTTGAAATATACCCGTACCCGGTAGCAGAATTTATAAAATCACTCAAATAAAGTTGGTACTGGTGTGCAGAACGGATTTTTGAGATTCTGAAAATAATTATTTGGCTCGTGGGTCCATAACTCTTTCATGTCAGCCACTAACACGAAGAGATTATTAATTCTTTGTTATTCTATTTCCTTTTGGTGTTCACAAACAATACGTTTACAGAATATAGTTCACATTATTCATGGTAACAAGAAGCTATCTTCTACACTGGTCCAACCAATATGTACCTAGCAAAGGCACCATCTTCCTCAACTTCGTGCTTCTATAGGGGCGGTCGGGTAGCCAAGTGGTTAAAGCGTTCGCTCGTCACGCCGAAGACCCGGGTTCGATTCCCGACACGGGTACAATGTGTGAAGCCCATTTCTGGTGGCCCCCGCCGTGATATTGCTGGAATATTGCTAAAGGCGGCGTAAAACCATACTCACTCACACTCACTCACTCGTGCTTATATAAAGATATATGACGACAAGTCCGGAGAATGACCAGTCTCGATTAGCCAACCAACAACACATTACACTGGGCGTCAAGGCAAAACAACGTTGAACATCATATGGAAGGATCACTGAAAGTGAGAGATGATGCAAGGTGTTCACCATAAGGGATAGCATCTCCCGCCCTACATGTGAAAATGATATTGAGATGAGTTTTAGTGCTATCAGACGGAGGGGCTCCGATGATGTCAAGGGGAACTAAAAGACCTATAATTTTCACTTTCCAATGGTATTTGTTCGGATATTATCTGTCGTTGAGGGCGTTGGGGTAGCCTAGTGGGTAAAGCGTTCACTCGTCATGTCGAAGACTAGAGTTCGATTGCTTACATAGGTACATATGTCATATGCTCTAAAGTTGTTTCATCAAGAGTACAACACTCAAGGCCTCAACAAATCTTTCAAGAAGATTTATGGTGGAGATGTGAAGGACATTGAATTTGAAGAATCAGTGACAAATTATGTCCATGCAATTCCCTATCTTGACATGTTCCTGTGTTTGTTTTTGATAGTGATTCATAAACACATGCTCATGATATAGTCGGATCCGTACAATCGATTCTTATGAATATGGAATGAGTTTTGTAGCTTTTATGTTACACCCTATTCAACAATATTAAAGCTGGTTCTGTTTTACCAATGGAATCTGTTCCTTCAAAAGGCACATCTTCTTCAACTTCGTGCTTCTATAAAGATATAAGACGACAACTCCGGAGACAAACCAGTCTCGATTAGCCAACCAACAACACATTACACTGGGCGTCAAGGCAAAACAACGTTGAACATCATATGGAAGGATCACTGAGAGTGAGAGATGATGCAAGGTGTTCGCCATAAGGGATAGCATCTCCCGCCCTACATGTGAAAATGCTATTGAGATAAGTTTTAGTGCTAACGGACGGAGGGGCTCCGATGATGTCAAGGGGTACTAAAAGACCTATAGGCGGCTCACGGATAACTGTAGGCGTCTCACGAAGACTTGTAGTGACGCTTGACAGAGTTTGTGATAAAGGAGAATAGGCGATTAAAATAGATTCTGTAAAAACAACGCTACACGTTGAACGAGAGGTTAAATATGAAGAGAGTAATTAAAGATGTAAGGTTTGTTTGTCGTATATTGCTTTTCCTAATATGAACATTACGTTTCTAGGTTTGTCAGCACCACACCCGTCTCGAATGCCACCAAAAATGGTAAATGTGTAAGACCTGCATCATTTCGGGCGTTCCTCCCACATTAACTGACACGCTGTGATATAACTGGAATACTGTTAAAAGCGGCGTTAAACCAAACTCGCTTACTAATATTAACACTCGTAACATATTGATTTCCAGATGTTAAAAGTATATCCTGAAAACAGTTAATGAAATCACTATTACGGGGTCTCCCCGGTCTGAACCTAGATCTTGTCCAGAACCAGGCTTAATGATGGCCTGTATAAAACAGACACAATGTCTCTGTCAAGGGAGGTAATCGGCAGCTGATAGACTGGTGTTAACTGCCGGGCAAAAGTGAGTGAGTGAGTGAGTATGGTTTTACGCCGCTTTTAGCAATATTCTTCACACATTGTCCCCATGTCCGGAATCGAACCCGGGTCTGCGGCGTGACGAGCGAACGCTTTAACCACTAGGCTACCCGACCGCCCCGCCGGGTAAAAGAAAGCATACACTTGAAAATTGGTTTTGACCAAACAAATTACAAACGTTATCAAAACGTCACTAGGTTGAAAACGGTCACCGAATTCACATCGGAAGTGTTTGTCTCCCAAAACCAGAGCCAAAAACATCCCCATCGAATAACCATTTCTTGTTGGTTTAATTTTTATCCTCCACCAAACATCGGTGTATACTTTCTTTTGCGGGCAGTTTACATCTTAAAATGTCACATCCAATATAAGTGACAAACCCTTTCCATAATCATAACAAGTCCATTGTAGGATTACGACTATATGACAAGCATGTGTTTATGGATCACTATCAAATATGATGATAATTAGTGTTCGCGAAAAGGCTAGCGTATCCTGCTCCACCGGTGGCATCCATCACAAACACATGCAAAGTGGAGTTTATACGACTTGTATGACGTAAGCTAGGGCTGTCAATTTGGGAGTCGTGTTTCCCTTTAAGTACTAATGGTTACGAATGTGTTAACATGTATACCTTACAACATCAATAGTTCAAAGAATAGTATAAAGAATATTTCAGACTAAAATAACCCAGTGGAACCCCCTTATCCCGAAAAGGGTTCATTGAGAACTCCGTAGTTCGAGACAACCAGACCGCCTCAGTGGTCGAGAGGATAGGGCGTCTTCCCGGAGAGCGGAAGATCGGCGGTTGACCGCGTCGTACCAAAAGACGTTAAAATATGGTACTTGTTGCTACCCTGCCTGCCGCTAGACATTAAGGGAATAAAATAAGAACTGGTCGTCTCGAAGTATGCTGTATCTGAGTAGGGCATCCATGTTAAACTGCGACATGGTATATCAGTGGGCCAGCACTATAAAACCGGACTAAGTCCGGACTAGTACAAGCAGCCACACACGCGTGGAATAATCTTGAAAAGCGTGACGTTAAACTGCGGCATGGTATCGCAATGGGCTAGCACTATAAAGGGACAGTGAAGTTACTACTTCTTGAGTTCAAGTTATAGAGAAGTCATTGCATATAAATTATATAAATAGGTATAAAATTCCCCCTTATGTACACAAGGTCAATAGAAACAAACAGGTTCATTCAAATGCAAGCAAGAAAAATAAAGACAGTAAATCTTACCTGTTTTTCAAGAAAATGGATGTGTTTTATCCCACGTTTGCGACCCTGTTGTTTTCAAACAAAGTCGTTAAACCTGTTTGCAAGGAGGCCGGAAGCTTTCCAGGGAGGTGATTTAGTTTTATAGATTTAGTATGTGTCGTTCCTAAACAGCAAAATATTAAGTTTACCTTTCCCTAAACTGGAGCCGAAATGGATTGCCACGTCCCTGTCGCCTCAGAAAGTGACATGGTCCACCTAATAAAAACCGTCATGCGCTCACGTGATGGATGATACTTTTTCAAGCGTGACGTCTGGTTCCATGACATTAAGTCATGTGACCTGCAAGTGGGTGGGGCCACGCTTTAACAATGATTTTGGAATGTGGCAGCTGGTTTATGTTTTGATTAATCTGCAGTACGTTTTATTTCCCTTTTGTCTTTATTTTTCCTGCCTTAAAGTTTCACTAGCAGGAATTGCAATTTGGAGTTCACCACGTTTGAAGTCATACTACACTTAGCGATGATGACGTGCTGAGTGCTAGGGATTTCCTTCTCCCTGGCTGTCTTTCTCTCTTCATTAGGCGGCAAAATGTGATGGGTAATATGCTTATGTGCTTAGAGCGAATACTTGTTCTCTGTAACTGGACGGTAGTTGTCCGGATAGTCGATTAGAGGAGGTAATAGGTGTGTGTTAAATGCCACACAAATTCCCATCCTGTCGCATTTCTGTGCATTCCGAACAAATCCAGTGGGTCAAATAATAATTACACTGTTTGGTCGTTTCGTTTTCTAAACTCTTTAATTGTTTTGTGTACACCGAATAATCCTAATTAACAAGCCAGCATCGTTTGAACATGATTAGGACCGCCTCCGTGGTCTAGTGGTAGAGAGTCTGTCCAGAGAGCGGAAGGTCCGGGGTTCGATGCCGGGCGCGTTATACCAAAAGACGTAAAAAGATGGAACTTATTGTTACCCTGCCTAGCGCTCGGGATAAGGGGATAAATCCGTCACTGGTCGGCTCGAAGTCAGTATATAATGTATTCAGTGTCTGAGTGGCGTATTCATGATAAACTGCGACATGGTATCTGAGTCTCAGTCTTGGACACGACGTTAAGCCCCATTTCACCCGACCGCACCTTGAGCATAACTACTAATGGCGGCTACTTGGAGGCAGGGGTGACTTATGTTTCTAGACAGCAGTGATGCATGGATGCAGACGTTTTTGGCAGTGTTTGGAAGGCTAGCGGTTGACACATTTGCTTGTCACGCCGAGACATACACTGCGTGGGCCGTTTCTGAGTCCAGCATTCAACCATGCGGAAATCCAGATGGGGAATGCGGGGGTGCACCACCATCCAACTATTTTAAAAACTACTTAACTAGTTAAAATATGTACATTCACCTGTAATGGTATGTTTATTTTTTCTTATTACTGGAATAACGCGGTGTAAAATCATAGTTGGCCAATCACAATGTCTAAGTTACTCACTTAGGGACCGATATCGCCAAAAATAAATTGTTCCCAAAAATTCTTGAAAAAAAATTATGCTTAGGACTGTTGAATAAGATGGGAATTGCTCGCCACAAAAATTACGTTTTTGTGAGGTGTTTTCCTCAGGATTATAGTTTCCAATAAATTTTGTTTTGCTTTTGTAGCTTCTTAGAGGTTTGATTCCAATTCAAATTTAACTTTGATTAAATGAAATATACGAATTTGGAGGTAAGTGTTTAGGTTGAACGTTTTAGGTTTATACACTTTGAACTGGATGTGTATAGCCAATCGGAAATGTAATTGAGCGCGTGTGTGCTATGACAAACCCTCCATCCTACATGGTCTCGCTATGTTTACGTATATAACCAGCAACCCCATAGAACACACACACAAACACACACACACACATCACACACATACACACACACCACACACACACACACACACACACACACACACACAACCACACACAAATATGTATACTCCTGAAAATTGTATGTGACCAAATAGGTACGAACGTTAGCAAAACGTAACTAGGCTGAAAACAGACGCTGAAAGTAAACGTCCAAAACACAGCTATGATACCCTTATCAAGCACATCGATCATCGAATATCCATTTCTTGTTTGTTTAAGTTTAGTCACAATCAAATATGGGTTTATACTTTCTTTTCCCGGCAGTTTATACTTGTCTTGGTTGATTGCGTCATCATACCCTGACGGCGTGGATCATTATTCACAATATCGACCACTCGGTTGTCTAGCCCAGAGTCGATTATTTTCATATAACTGGAATGTTTATGAATGCGGCGGTACACGACAAACAAACACAGTGTAACAAGCACATAACATCTGAAGTATGCCATTACGTCCACGCACCGGCTACAGAACATCAGTCCTGCGACATAATCCCTTGTGACACGTTTGCTTAACACTCGCTACTCCTTGCTGTACATACAAGTAATGTCTCTTGTACTAGACCCCGTGAGATCAGTGCTTTCCACTGTTTTCCTCTTCGAGTACACGTGAGAGCTTACCTCTGCATTTGACATATTTATTATGTTACGAGAGTAGTAAGCCTGCCCCTAAAATATCGATTTGTTTTGTCAAATGTCTGTTGTTGAAATGAAAGACTTAATTGTAGATGATTTATGCATTCTGTTTCTAAATCTTTATTCCTCGACAGCAGGCAACTAACAATCAGTTGCTTAGGGTAAAACCTGAAAACACATTCTTTCTCGCCTATTTTTTCAAGAAATCCCATGTCGGCCTCTTAAAAGGTAGTGCACATACCATAACATGCCGCATGTCCTAGCATGAACACGTCCAGTTAATGCAAAGAAGAGAATGATAACCTAATTCTGAATATGACAAAATATTTATAATATTATCTTATCAAATATAAGTTATAGATTTAAAAATAAGTTGATGAATAAATTTTGAGTATACATGTAATTATTATTGTGAGTGGCGAGGTGGGTTTAACGCCGCTTTAAACAGTAGTTCAGAACATACCACGGCCTGCCATCTTAAGGTCAGGAAAGCCCGAAGTCATACACCCCTTTCCAGGTCTGAGATGTTAACTGCTTTGGTGCAACCTACCAGCAAGGGTATGGTGCTGACGAACCTGACAAGCCGTATGTACACGTCTCAGAAATAGACAGGAAGGTTATATAAAGGCAGCCTCCATATGGTGGGCGTGAACACAGCTCCTTTTTAACATGACGCTAGATGCTAATTTGTTATGCCTGTTTTGATAGTCTGTGTTACGAGTGATGCGGTTTATTGATGGAACTAGCTCTCGAAGTGACAGTAATGGCTGCCATAAACCATGAATAAAGATCTTCTCTTCCTGGTTTAGTGTTTGCATAAAACCTCAACGTATAGAGATGTAACTGGATAATTCCTGAAGTATATCATAGTTTGCGTTTGCGTACGAGGCGGATTTGTCGGATACCTTAACTAAATACTGTTAACCTGACGTAAGCATGTGTTTCATCACAAAGACAAATGGCTTACAGAAATGAATATGGAATTATCCTACTCTCAATCTGTAACAACGTTTGGAGAAAATCCGACATTCAACCTCTGAAACAAATGAACTACTTTTGTTCGCGGAAACAAGAAACGATTGTACGTGTGGGGCGGTCGCGGAGTGATCTGAACGACGAGCTGTCGTCTGTGTGACAAGATGTCAGACACTGACGGTGCTCAAGTTTACTTTATGGGATTTTTATATCAGCACTGGTGTTTTTTTCTAAATTCAACCCTCGGGTTGGGATAAAAGATAATGTTGGGAGATACATCGCAGAATACAAGACACTTCCTAAATCTCCTAGTCGTGTCTGTAATGTGCTACGGCATCGGTTGCCACAAGTCGCTAAATAGAGTTGCGCCCCATTTCTACGCCAGGAATCGCTGGTGGGAGGTGCGAATCTTCGCCCTGATTATGATCCTTGGTCTATCAGTTCCATACCCGTGCTCGTAGGTTTAAACAAACCCAGATCAGTTCGGCTTAAACCCTGATGTAACTGAAATACTGGTCAAAGCCGCGTTAAATCCAACTCTGGATCACACTGTCATGTTTACAAAATAACTCATGAACTTCTACAATGTTCAAAACAATAGGTTTTCCATGTTGACCTAGTAACAAAATTATGTGAAGGAAGCTCTATTACTACGTACAAAGACCTAATATTATACGTAAGTATTGTTTTCAATGTAAATTGCCTTTTTCTTTTGTTTTCGTTGTTGATTTATTATCACTCCATGTCAGTAATACTGCCATGTTAACTCACATCACTGCATAATAGTACAGTAATACTGCCAAGTTAACTCACATCACCCCATGATAGTACAGTAATACTGCCATGTTAACTCACATCACCCCATGATAGTACAGGAATACTGCCATGTTAACTCACATCACCCCATGATAGTACAGTAATACTGCCATGTTAACTCACATCACCCCATGTCAGTACATGAATACTGCCATGTTAACTCACATCACCCCATGATAGTACAGTAATACTGCCATGTTAACTCACATCACCCCATGTCAGTACAGGAATACTGCCATGTTAACTCACATCACCCCATGATAGTACAGTAATACTGCCATGTTAACTCACATCAACCCATGTCAGTACATGAATACTGCCATGTTAACTCACATCACCCCATGATAGTACAGTAATACTGCCATGTTAACTCACATCACCCCATGATAGTACAGTAATACTGCCATGTTAACTCACATCACCCCATGTCAGTACAGGAATACTGCCATGTTAACTCACATCACCCCATGTCAGTACAGGAATACTGCCATGTTAACTCACATCACCCCATGATAGTACAGGAATACTGCCATGTTAACTCACATCAACCCATGTCAGTACATGAATACTGCCATGTTAACTCACATCAACCCATGATAGTAGGGTAATACTGCCATGTTAACTCCCATCACCCCATGATAGTACATGAATACTGCCATGTTAACTCACATCACCCCCATGTCAACACAGGAAAACTGCCATGTTAACTCACATCACCGCATGATAGTACATGAATACTGCCATGTTAACTCACATCACCCCCATGTCAGCACATGAATACTGCCATGTTAACTCACATCACCGCATGATAGTACAGGAATACTGCCATGTTAACTCACATCAACCCATGATAGTACAGGAATACTGCCATGTTAACTCACATCACCCCATGTCAGTACATGAATACTGCCATGTTAACTCACATCACCGCATG